TCCCGAAGTTTTGCCATTTAATTTGGAAACACCCTGTATATTTACTATTTCTGTCTATAATTTTAAAGGAAGTTAGCGTGATATTCTCAGATATCTAAAGACGAAAGGCAACCGTGCGTAGATGCGATCTATTACAAAAAGAAAATGGTGTTTCATTACATAGCAAAGTTCATAATGGGAAGCCCGTTTGCAATTTATCGTATGTGTAATGGAGAACCGAAGAGTTTTCAAGTCGAAGTAATTTACGGTACACTTTGTAAAGACTGATGCTTGCAGTGCTGCAGGGGCAAGTATTCGTTTAATGCGCGAGCGCATTAAACGAATACAAGTCCCTGCTTTCCAAATTAAAATGTACAAGCTTGACAATATATCTACGTGAGCGTGAGCGCGTTATTATACTTTTTTTTACTACCTCAGCGTTCTGTACTTTGTGCTGCGTCGGCAGAGCACCAGCGCAATGAAAGTAGATATGTAACGTTGGCATTAATTAAAATCATTACATAACATTTGTCGAGTATCCTTGATGGTGGGCGCAAAAGCGCCCACCCTCGGCATCGCAGAGTGTTTCTTTCCATCCGGAGGAGGTCTAGTGCATTAATTCCGTTCGTTGAGATATTAAAACCGAGAACAGATTGCATCAATTAGAGAGTATTCATGATATATTACGCTCGCTATAACGTTGTCAATTAAAAAATTGCAAATTTCTTTGCGCATATCGCTTTGTTCGCTATTTCGACATTTACTGCTCGCCGAAATTGAGGAAAAACCTGTTTACGTATTAAAGTAATGTAAGCATTTAAAAAAATGTTTTCTTCCATTTAAACACTTTTTTTTTTATATAAAGCAAACGTAAATAATGTCCGAAGTATTTTAGTCGATACATGATATATATTAGTCAGATTTATGTCACTTTGCTTTTCATGTTTAATTTAAATATGCAGAAATACCACAAATATATTGGCCTCTGCATTTAACAATGATTTATTAATCAATTTAGAGTTGCTTGTCTGCTAATAAATACATGTTTTAATAATTATTGCCAATTGTAATCAACGACCAGAAATTATTTTTGATAAATAGAAGTATTGTTCACCTATCGCGCGTACCACAAACATAACTTTTCATGCAAAAATATATTAATATTATATCAATTTAATATATTTATGAAATAAACAATGCAAATAGATAAGCACATCTAAATAAAACTTTAACTTCATATGATTAATATATGCGTGTGCTGGTACTAAAGTAAAGTATGACAAACCTTGTTGCTTTTAAATCAATGCATCGATTAAGGAATTTCGATTGTATTTCCGTTTCAAATCAAGATTCTACCCGAATCTTCAGATTCAGTTGAAAAATTCACCGTCGCGACGTGGCGCATCTTGGTTATTCCCCTCAACCATCGGATATACGCGTAATCTTGTCACGACGCGGTCATTCAATTGCTTCAGCCACCGCATGATATTTGTCCGAACATGACTTCCAGGCTACGAGAGTACAGCACCGGTGGCAGACATAATGGGTCCCCGGGAGCAAAGGGTGCCATCAGGCTCGACGATCACCCTGAGGTGCGTCATATTGTCGCCGTATCAGACCCGTCCCATCAGAGGTGTACAATGGCTTCGGGATAACAAACTCCTAACATTCCAGGTAATGCAGCCTCAGCTGGGTCGCTCTAATGAAATTTCTGTTTGACGACCGGGAATCGAGAAGGACGGGAGAAAAAAAGGGGTGCTCGTATATCATCACACTTGACGCGAAGGGATATGGGTCATATGGTGTCCCTAACCGTGTCTTTCAACATTTTTGTTTGCGTGATAGCCTGCGTCGGCTGTTTCTTTCGTGCGATACGTAATGATTGAAAGCTGATCGATTTGACGGTTTTGCCACTGCAAGACTGCTCGCGATTATCTTGCTTGGTCAATATGCGCGTTCTTTGAAACATCCATCCGAGACTCGTCAGTCTTTTTCAGTGATATTTTTCTTTACATTATTTATTATGTGTTATAATACAAAAAACGTTCTTTGCATTTTAAAATGTTTAAATTGTAATATATATTAAAGCTTATTTTCGGAATAGTGTCTTATGATTGTAGTTGACGATTTATTTGTTGAAAGCAATAAAAGATTTATTTTTTGATATAATAAAACTCTTAAATGAGCATAAAATTAATATTATAACATTGTTTAGATGTGAATATGTTAGATCCTATTATTTTCTTGCATGTGCGACTTGTGACTTTATGCATTGTCAATTTAGCTTTACTGTACTATTTCATTATTTCATTTTTATGGAGTAACTCATCTCTATATTATGTAAATGATAGTTTGCATTGTTTTGATTGATTCAAGAAGTATTCGATTTCGCTTTTAATATACATAAAATACGCATTTAGATAATGAAATTTCAGTTCGAGCATGAAACGTGATGTGAAAGATGTAGAAACAAAAACTCAAATTTTTTCAAATTTATTCATAAAATACATAAAATTTTATAACATAAATAATGTACAAATTTTTATATGTAATTCGGCGAAATAGAAAATACTTAAATTAACAACACATCCCGTGTTTCTTCCGGTTTTGTCATAAATTTTGGAAAATATGAAATATGTTTTTGTTTCTATATCTCTCAAACACTTAAAAGATTTTCTGTTACTTACTTCATCGTTGAACTAACACTTGTTTACTCTTCATTCAGGCAGCGCGCGGAGGGATAAATGTAGAGACGGAAAAGGGTGCGGCACGTACAGTATCCGTGTTGACTTTGGCGTCGGTGACTCAAGATGACGTCGGAAACTATTCATGCAGGCCGACGGAGGGTCGATCAGCCACTGTCAGCTTAGTCGTTGAGGAAGGTTAGTCTGAGTCTTTTACTACTCACGTGGATTATAATGAGAAAATAAACAAGCAATATCCATAAATAATTTTATTATAATACATAAATATATTTATATACATATATTTATATATATTTAGTTATTGATTGTATATGCCATAAAAATATGTGTTTAAAATAAAATGGAAGAGACAAAACGAGTTAAAGAACTAAAATAACGTGATATAATAGAAAAATGTATAAAAGTATACTAGATACTTCGCGAAACATAATGATATAATAACAGTATACTTACGTGCCTCGGGATCTTCCGGGAAATCTCGCTGTCGCCGGATATGCTACGAGCGTAGCCGGAAGCCCACCGGGTGCGCCGATATTCTATTTCCTTCTACGCTTGCGTGTATCCTCCGCGGGGTACAAGCATGATGTAAAGTCGTGCCTTAGGATTACTTGAAACACTTTAAAGTTTTAAAGAGGCGGCGGTATTTCACGCTGAAGCTATTTGTCTAGCTCAGCCCCTCGGTCGCCACGGCAGGGATGAAAAGGAGCGGAAGGGCGAGATGGGTCGGGAGAGAGGAGGGATTGCGAAGGGATGGAAAAGACGGAAGATCGCTTGCTCGGGCGCGTGTACTCCTGCGCGAGACGAAAAGCGGGAATGTCCGAGGGACGAGGTACGAGAAATCGTGGAAGGAGAGAAATTGCGGTTCATAGATAGAAGGACGGTGACGAAGAGGGAGTGGAGTTTAAGAGAAAGGAGGAAACTTGTGGAGGAAAGAAGTAGATATAAACGGAGATTCTCTCTCTTTGCTTTCTCTTTGCTACTTTCCTTTCTCCATTCAAGCTTCGCTGCACGTCTTATTTCGTTTTACTTTTTCCTCTTTAAGATTGAGAGAATAATAAATGTGAGAGAGAAGGGAGGGAGGGAGGGGGGGAGAGAGAGAGAGAGAGAGAGAAAGACGTGCGTGGAGGTGAAAAAGAACAAAAATGAAAGTAAATATAAGTTTTAAATATAATCGATGAAGTCAAAGAAGATACAAAAAAGGGACAAGATTATTTGCGCTACCTCTGACCTGTATATCATTTTTTAAACACAATTTAACATATTTTTTTAAGTTGAGTATAGATTTAAATGTGAACGTTTAGTCATTTGTTTTTTCCTATCGAATAGTCTTATCGATTTTCCTTTGTGCATGACAATCATCTGTAAATACAGATAGGATTGGCGTTATTTTATAAAAGTAACACGTTATCATTATCGTTATTTGGAAAGTAACGATTCGTTATTTCTTTCGTTACTTTTTTGTAATGTTACAGTAAGATATTAGATTAAAAAAATTTTAATTTAAACATTATGTAATAATCAATATTAATTGTGAAATCAATATTAAAATTTAAAGTTCTAAGTTGGTATCTACATAGCAAACTTTTTTTTATATTAAACTTATATTTAATAAAAATCTTAAATAATTTTTTATATTAATATTTTTATTTTTTTTAATATATGCTTATTTTTAGGAAATTAAATTGCAACGTGGATTTTATTAAAAATTTTATTAAACATTGACGCTTTTTAAGCGTCAATGTCGTTATTAAGAGTGCATTCCAATATTTACTGCCAATACTGAAAATTTATAATTCACATTACATATTGACAGTGATTATCGGAATGCAGCTTAGGGAATGAAATATGAAACATTTTTTGATATTTTTAAATTTCTATTATAAAATATTTAAATTAAATTAAATTAAATTATTACAAATAGAAAAAAGTAACGATGGTTATAAAAAAAAGTAACGAAAATAATAACGGCATTATAAGTAACGCGTTACTTCCCAATTCTGAGCACAGAAGAAAATAAAGTAACAAAGTAAAAGTAATGGAAATTATGAAGACATTAGTAGGAACTGAAAAATGTATGCGAACACAAGCCGGATGAAATGGAATGAATAGCATGGAAGAGGACAAGGATCTGTGAAGGCATGGAGCCCGGAGGCAGACGTCGTGGGATCGCGGGGACACTTGCATGCGAAATTCACGTGGATAGTCTCTATTATCGTGAATTTCCCTTCGGAGGTTATTGCGAGGAAGCGCCTGTGGCGCGCGGAGTCGCATTTTTCCCAAGAGCGTGAGCGCGTGTGTGCGCGTGCACGCGTGTGCGCTATCTAATCCCGTGTCTATTCGCACGCGAAACGCGTCCCGTGCGACCATAAATCAAAACTTGGATGACTCGCGGCCTCGTAGATTGTGGATATACGCGGTTTATGACGCGCCCGAAGGAAACCGTCTCGCCCGAGCGTAACTAAGCGAAGTGCATCGTCCGATTTTTACGAGGGTGTATCGACGTAAATATCGTGGTAGATGTGGAAATCGAATATTGCGGACCAACATATAACGGAGGATTTGGGAGATATATCGAGATGTATGAATTATTAATGTTATTGAATCCAATTTTTTAAGTTTTCTTGAATAATTTGCATAATTTTTGAACTCGTCTTTTAGAATTGTTATTTAATTCTGCTGATCTATTTGGGTCTATTTGACCTAAAATGTAATTTATTTTTTTACTAATAAATTTATAATTACACAAGCGAGGGTACAAGCTTTTAAAAATGCAATTTGTTATGTATCTGTTTAAAGTCCTTGGTCGTTTTATAACAATACCCAATTATAACAGAAAGTGTGAAGTAATTTTAATTTTTAAGCAATTCTGTGTTACATATTTTATTAGTAAATATTATGAGAAGACATTGGACTACATACTCTACATCATTTTAAGATTGAATTTGAGTGTGCTTATTCTTTTTTCCTTGGAAAATGTATGAAAATTTGATGTTACATTAAGGATGTATTGCATGTATTTTTTAACGAAACTAAAAAATTATGAAAAAATTACAGATTGTTCCATTTTGTACTTTAAAGTAAACAAAAAGTTTGCCGGCGATTTAAAACCTGTATAAAAAATTATTTCAATAAAAAGTAGATGTTTTTTTTTAAATAATTAAGATAAAATGAGATAATTTTCATTTATACTGTGAAATTATATTGTTAAATATAAATAGTGATTTTAATGAACTGTTTTATATATGTATATAACATTCATTTTAATTTATATAAAATACATAAATTTCCAATTCCAGTTACTTTTTGTGCAGAGATTGTACTTGATATACATTCTTAATTAAGAGTGTCCTATTTGCTTGTACGTAAAATTACATAAAATGGATAGCAATACTGTATCACTCATATAAATAGCATTCTAGGGTTAATTGAATATAAAATTTTGTAGATGAATATATATTATAATAAATAATTTGTGCCTATAATTACATATTTACGTGCAATATAACTTTTAAGAAGAAAAAGGTATGAGAGATGAAGTTTTTTTCTTGGATATCATGCAATTCGGTTTTAATAAAAGCTCATTATATTTTTAATACAACGAGATAATAAAAAATGAAGCAAAAAACATAATATTATACTTGACGTAGCTCATGAAATCTCATTATTACTTATATAGTCATAAACACAGTTTAAATACTGTAAAATTATGACTCCGTGTAGAATTCTCACATACATACACGTGTACGTCGGAGTAAATCTCCGAGAGAATACAGAATTAATTCGTTGCTTCCCCGGACCGAGCAACACGTATAAATTGTACATTTACTCGTTACGCTAGTACTTAACGCGCGTGTAAGTTATAGAGGTATCATGACTGGAAAAAAGTGAGATAATTAAATATCTAGTAGATTAATTTTTGCGATTATATGTGCAATTGCATAATATACAAGGATACAGTTATACATATATAATTTCGCAATTTATAATAGGTGAATCTGTTGAACCGCTTGGAATGAAGAGATACGGAAAAACTGCAAACACGACGAAGGAACCCTGTTAAATCCACTCGCGCGCGGTATCGCAAAACTGAATTTTCGTCTGATCGTGAGTCACTTTGCAATAACGTTTCACTCACGTGTATGTACGTACGCGTACGATACATCAACCGCAGGCACGATACGTACTCGCACGGCCGTGCGAGAACCCAACGATAAATCAGAAGTCCGGCCACTTGTTTTCTAGTTTTGCAGATTGCGAATTCGCGCAGTTTATCGGCACGGACGAGCCGAGTTCGAAGGAAGTGCCATTGCGATGGGATTAAACGGGACAGTGGGCATTTTTATGTGAGCGAAACTGCACGAAAATACTGCTGGATGACACGCGAATATCATGTACGAGAAGCGGAAATAAAGTCATAAATAAAATTTCTCTTATCACACACACACACACAATTAAAATTAACAAATAGATTTTTATGATAGAATATAAAAAGATGCAACTCAAGATTTGCCCCTAATTATGTAGTCAATTTATGGATTGTTTGATTTATATTAATACTTTATATTAATCTTTCGGAGCTGATGATGGATTTATTAAATAATCCACTCAATTATAAATTTTTTTGTCAAAAATGTCAAGCAATTCAATTTTTTTTATGTTACATCTGCAAATTTGAATTACTTTTATTAAAATATGTTTGGTATTCATTTTTTATAGTTATATCATTTTGATTTCTTGAAATTAATTAGTGTTTTTTAATTAATATGAATTAAATGGGTTTTACAGACTTAGTATCAATAACTATAGTACAAATTTTGACGTTAGCTCTAGTTTTTCCTTCCTTGAATTAAATATTTAAATTGCAGATACGCAGCGTATTATAAATATTTCGTATAATTTCAAGATCGCTTAAACTAGTTTAAAAATTGTTTCAAAAACAATCCATGGGTTTCCCGTATAACAATGTCGACCTAGTGAGATTATATCAAAACTTTGTGTTCAATCTTATCGAAGAAAAATGGTAGAGGGAAGAAAACTTTCTTCGGCCGTCTCGGAAATGCTGTGAGGATAACCAATAATTGATCATCCTCCAATTAATTATTGGCATCTACTGATAATCGGGACTAAGCTGATAATTATTATAGCTCCTCAAGATTAGAGAACTGAATTGAAGTCAT